GGTCTGCAGGATCCTTAAAGGAGGGAGATTCCTCCATCAGAATCAGAGTTGACAAATTGAGCCTAGAAATGGGGGGGGATCTGCCAGAGGGGGAGAAATCCACTATTTTTGGAAGGGCCTCCTCAAAAAGGTAGAGCACCGCAAAGCATTTGGGGAGTACAAATGGATATTTTGGATGCTCCCAATCCTTGTAGACAAATTTGTCAAAATATGTGGGGTAAGGAAAAACCTTAACAGACCTAGCCAGCTTGTGAGTACCAAATGGGACAGATATCACATCAGAAACCCCAGCAGAGTCCTCAATTTTTACCGTCTCTAGTACAGAAGTGATGAGAGTGGAAACCAATTCCTTCTCCTGTGCAGTGACAGAGGCAGGTGACCCGTCCTCTTCATATCATTCAGGGGATGCGTCATTTGGATCTGCAGCAAAAGCAGAGCCTATGGCAGCAGAACTCAACTCAGGCCCAAAGACGTTTGAGGACGACGTTGATGGAGGGAGGCGTTTCTTGCTTGCCTTAGGATCAAATATCTCTCCATCCAGGAGACGAAAAACTTCAGGACAACCAACAGTGCATCTAACGTGACTCAGAAAACTGAATAATCTGCCCCCTCCATCAGAAGGGGAAACTTGCTCCTGGGTTTTCATGCAAAACTGTCACTCCAGGTAGGCATAGCCACAAAAAAAGGGACCCTGAAAGGAAGGAGGCAGGAGGATACTGTCAGGGAAGCCTAACAGAGAGGTTGATACCTCAGGAAAGACTCACCACCTGCCTGCGAAGGAGAGCCGTATGTCACCCATGTCCTACTGCAGCTTTCGTGCACCAGAGAGCCAAAAACACCACCCCCACAGGATACTGAGATGATGGCAACCCAAGCCTGTCCAGCCAGCTCCCATAGCAAGGCTATGTAAAAAAAAAAAAAAAAATCACCCACAAAATGATGCGCTATCTGCCAGCAACAAAATGGCCACCAGAATCACCAGCAAAACGGCTCCAAAAAATGGCTGCCGGTTGCCCAGGGACCACATGGTGGCTGCATGTAGCCCCCCGGAGGGAGAAAAGCGCCACAGAGCCCGAACCAGCAGGGTGGCAACTAGTGTAGAAAGACGAGAGAGATACAAGCAGCTAAGGTGGGAGGAAGCGACCATGCAGCACTGGCCACCCCAGGCAGCACCAGCGTGCATCACACGGGGGGGAGGAAGAAGGCATCTACTTAACAATCGAGCGGATCGTGTGGGTAATGCTCCAATGACCGATCTTCCGCTCCACTGGGGGCTATCTATTAGGGCAATACTGTGACACAGGATCTGGCACCCAGTCATAGGTTTCCCTGTGAGATGTTTATCTCACAGGCCGCCCTGATCCGGGGTGGGGCTTTTTCACAGCTGACCCAGAGCATAGTTAATGGGTGACCACTGGATCTAGATTATTGAGCTCATCACCCAAGTCTGGCTGTTGACTGAAGGTCTCTACAGGAAGAAATCCCCCAAAAAAGAAGAGAAGTAAGAAATAAAAATCTTGTTGAACCACAGTTTTAGCAGAGAGTTAGGTCCTTACTCCTGAATGCTATGCATAATAACTGGCTTTTCTATAGCGGAGAAGGGGTTTTATGCCTAGAGATGGCTGCCCATAGGAGGTGCCGAGTTTTTTCCTGCCTAGTGTCCTATAAAACCCTGTTTGGTCAAGACTAAATGAGAGATGCTGTGTTCGTCAATGAACATAAAACAAATAGTGACCTGCAAGAAAGCCACTTGGCCTGCAGATTTGATGACTTCACTGCTAGCTCCACCCAACGTGTTTCGTTGTAACAGACTCGTCAAGGGACCAGAACTAGCTGGTGGAGTCCTTGATTAAAATATCAGGAATATGGCCAGATTGATGTCAAAGTAGCACTGGAGTCAGGCAAAAGACCACATATCAACAAACAAAAGCCACAGACTACAGCTTCACTTTGCAAATATTAAACATAAAATGATCCAAAGTCCTGCAATCATATTCAACTCCCCCTAACTACTTATAGAATTATATAAATAAAGAACCAGCACCACGGAAATTATATAACACAGTAAGCTGCAAAACCTAGCCTATAAACTTATAGGATATACAAAACTTCAAAAAAATAGGTTGCGCTTAAATACATGCAAAAGTATAACAAGAAAATAAATAACAAAACAATAAGAAACAATCTTATAAATCAAAATAAAATCCAGCAAAAACAAAAAAGTCCAAAAGTTCAAATAATCAATAATGTCCAAAATAATTCATCACCAAGTAAATCCACCACCAAAAATGGTTAAATAGAACTCACCAGAGTAATATGCTGATTGTTGAAAAACCAGCATATAGTACTTGTTATTCTGGGATGAATGAATAATATGGTGACAACAACACTGAAGAAATGAGGGATGAACTCCAACAGATGATGTGCTGCAAAGTAGAAAATCCACTCCAAAGGTAATTTAGTATCCAAACTGAGAGATGATTAGACCGTCACTCAAAAAAATAAAAGCGAAAAATCATGGTGCAGTATGTTTTAAAAAGCATCAATCTTTAATAAAGAAATGCACTTACAAGCAAGGTGTCCAGACTGACACCAGTGTAAACAGCATGTATAATGAATATAGGCCACTCAGACCCAGCCAAAGATGCACATGCAACGTGCAGACAAACCAGGAGTAATCTGAACCTCACATCCAAAGGCACCGCCCAAGGCGGTGTCCAATGACACGCTGATCAGAGGGAAATGCAAGTGCCGGTTCTCGGCTGCACTTTCCTCACGCTGTCAGATCGTGAGGAAAGTACTGCCGAGAACCGGCAGTTGTCAGAGCGGGGATCGGCACCGATCATCAGGGCACTAATGATCAGTGCCCTGATGATCGGTGCCCAGCAGTGCCACCCGCAAGTTCCGCCCACCTGTGCCCTGCAGTGCGCCCACTAGCTCCGCCCACCTGTGCCCAGCAGATCACCCACCTGTGCCCAGCAGTGCACCCACCTGTGCCACTCTGCAGTGTGTCACACCTGTGCCCAGAAGTGCCACCTACCTGTGCCCAGCAGTGCCACCCACCTGTGCCCACCCACCTGTGCCCAGCAGTGCCACCCACCTGTGCCCACCCACCAGTGCCACCCACCAGTGCAGCCCAGCAGTACTGCCAGTCAGTGCCACCAGTCAGTGCCCAGGGGTTGTGCCAGTCAGTGCCGCCAGTCAGTGCCCAGCAGTGATGCCAGTCAGTGCCGTCTATCAGTACCCATCATCAGTGTCACCTATCAGTGCCGCCTATCAGTGCTGCATATTAGTGCCGCCTATCCGTGACACCTCATTAGTGCTGCCTATCAGTGCCGCCTATCCGTGCCACCTCATTAGTACTGCCTATCAGTGCCCTTTAGTGCTGCCTATCAGTGCCGCCTATCAGTGCCCATCAGTGCTGCCTCATCAACGCACATCAGTGAAGGAGAAAAAATACCTGTTTGAAAAATTTTATAATAGAAACAAAGAAACTTTTTTTTTTTTCCAATTTTTTGCACTTTTTTTATTTATAGCGCAAAAAGTAAAGCGCCCAGTGGCGATTAAATACCACCAAAAGAAAGCTCTATTTTGTGAGAAAAAAATGATCAAAATTTCATATGGGTACAATGTTGCATGACCGCGCAATTGTCAAAGTGCGGCAGCGCTGAAAGCTGAAAATTGGCCTGGTAAATAAGGGGGTATAAGTGCCTGGTAGGCAAGTGGTTAAAGTGATACTAAAGCCTTGTTTAAAAAAAAAAGTCATACCTGCTCTATGTAGTGGTTTTGCACAGAGCAGCCCAGATCCTCCTCTTCTTGGGTCCCCAGCCGACACTACTGGCCCCTCCCTCCTGTCGGGTGCCCCCACAGCAAGCAGCTTTCTATGGGGGCACCCGAGCAGGCACGCACATAACCTGAAGCTCTGCATGTCCATTCACACATGCAGAGCCACAGCTCGGCTCCACCCCCTCCCTCTCCTCATTGGCTCACTGGCTGTGAAATTCCCTGGAGAACCGAGGCTCTTATGGACGTTGCTGGATCGGGATAGGGCTCAGGTAAGTGTTGGGGGGGCTACTACACACAGAAGGTTACCTTCATGCACAGAATGCATGAAGGTACAAAATCCTTGAGACTTTAGAACCACTTTAAAATACATTAAAAGGATAAAAAATATACAGAAAACAGAAAATGAAAACCAAACAAAAGTGATATTAGCTTAAAGTGGAACATTCATCCAGAAAAGGAGGATGATAAACTCCAAGAATGATTTCAATATTTCAATCAAGGCGCTATTCACTTTTTACAATTTTAAGTACAAAAGAAAAAGAGGAAACTCATTAAGATGGTTGATGAAATTAATGCGAATAAGAATAAACTCACACCTCATGCTAAAAAGGATTCATATCAGTTTTATCTGAGCAGCTTAAGAGTATTTTTGATAAGGATGAAGAACAGAGGGCCAAGAAAAGGAAACAGCTCTTATGAGGTAGTGAAGATTACAGATTGAAAAGAGTTTTTAAATGGCAGGACAGCTCTGATGCACAAGCCACCTATACTGAAAACAATCCTGAGAAAAACTATTGAAGGTCAGGGATATTGGGTGAAAATTTGCCCCCCTGACCCTTAAACAAGGTATAAGAGCTTAAAATATATATATATATACACACTGTGTATGTATGTATGTATGTATGTATATATATATATATATATATATATACACACACATACATACATATACCGTATTTTTCGCTCTATAAGACGCACTTTTTTCCCCCAAAAAAAGGGCGGAAAGTGTCAGTGCGTCTTATGGAGCAAATGTAAAGCGGCCGGTCCGGTATTTCTGCCGCCACCATGTCAGAATTACGGGCCAGCCGCTTAGCTTTTCTCTCCTCCAGGGCCTTACCAGTTCCTTGCTCCAGCGCTGCAGTCTTCCCGCGGCGGCTTCTGTGACAGCCGGGTACCCACTGCGCATGCGCGAGAAGCGCCGCGTTTTGTGAATGGTCCGGTGTCTTCTGGGACACATGGTAGGTCCCAGAAGGCTCCGGGCCATTCACAAAGCGCAGCACTTCTCGCGCATGCGCAGTGGGCACCCGCCTGTCACAGAAGCCGCCGCAGGAAGCAGAAAGAAGGACAACTCCGCGGAAGTGGGTACCTGTCAAATTCAGGTACCCGCTCCCCCTCCCTCCCCAAAGGTACCGCAGTCTCTGGTCATCCCTTGTACTGTCTGCAGTCTCTGGTCATCTCCTGTCCTATGTCCTCAGTCTCTGGCCATCTATTGTACTGTGTCCGCAGTCTCTGGCCATCTATTGTACTGTGTCCGCAGTCTCTGGCCATCTATTGTACTGTGTCCGCAGTCTCTGGCCATCTATTGTACTGTGTCCGCAGTCTCTGGCCATCTCCTCTACTGTGTCCGCAGTCTCTGGCCATCTCCTCTACTGTGTCCGCAGTCTCTGGCCATCTCCTCTACTGTGTCCGCAGTCTCTGGCCATCTCCTCTACTGTGTCCGCAGTCTCTGGCCATCTCCTCTACTGTGTGTCCGCAGTCTCTGGCCATCTCCTCTACTGTGTCCGCAGTCTCTGGCCATCTCCTCTACTGTGTCCGCAGTCTCTGGCCATCTCTTCTACTGTGTCCGCAGTCTCTGGCCATCTCCTCTACTGTGTCCGCAGTCTCTGGTCATCTCCTGTACTGTGTCCGCAGTCTCTGGTCATCCCCTCTACTGTGTCCGCAGTCTCTGGTCATCCCCTGTACTGTGTCCGCAGTCTCTGGTCATCCCCTGTACTATGTCCGCAGTCTCTGGTCATCCCCTGTACTGTGTCCGCAGTCTCTGGTCATCCCCTGTACTGTATCTGCAGTCCATTGGTTCAGCATATTTTTTTTCTTGTTTTTCTCCTCTAAAACCTAGGTGCGTCTTATGGTCAGGTGCATCTTATGGAGTGAAAAATACGGTATATATATACAGTGGGGCAAAAAAGTATTTAGTCAGCCACCAAATGTGCAACTTCTCCCACTTAAAAAGATGAGAGAGGCCTGTAATTGGCATCATAGGTACACCTCAACTATGAGAGACAAAATGAGAAAAAAAATCCAATCACATAGGCGGATTTGGAAAGAATTTATTTGCAAATTATGGTGGAAAATAAGTATTTGGTCACCTACAAACAAGCAAGATTTCTGGCTCTCACAGACCTGTACCTTCTTCTTTAAGAGGCTCCTCTGTCCTGCACTCATTACCTGTATCAATGGCACCTGTTTGAACTTGTTATCAGTATAAAAGACACCTGTCCACAACCTCAAACAGTCACACTCCAAACTCCACTATGGTGAAGACCAAAGGGCTGTCGAAGGACACCAGAAACAAAATTGTAGACCTGCACCAGGCTGGGAAGACTGAATCTGCAATAGGCAAGCAGCTTGGTGTGAACAAATCAACTGTGGGAGCAATAATTAGAAAATGGAAGACATAAAAGACCACTGATAATCTCCCTCGATCTGGGGCTCCACGCAAGATCTCACCCCGTGGGGTCAAAATGATCACAATAACGGTGAGCAAAAATCCTAGGACCACACGGGGGGACCTAGTGAATGACCTGCAGAGAGCTGGGACCAAAGTAACAAAAGCTACCATCAGTAACACACTACGCCGCCACGGACTCAGATCCTGCAGTGCCAGACGTGTCCCCCTGCTTAAGCCAGTACATGTCCGGGCCCGTCTGAAGTTTGCTAGAGAGCATTTGGATGATCCAGAAGAGGATTGGGAGAATGTCATATGGTCAGATGAAACCAAAATAGAACTGTTTGGTAGAAACACAAAGTCGTCGTGTTTGGAGGAGAGAGAATGCTGAGTTGCATCCAAAGAACACCATACCTACTGTGAAGCATGGGGGTGGCAACATCATGCTTTGGGGCTGTTTCTCCGCAAAGGGACCAGGACGACTGATCAATGTACAGGACAGAATGAATGGGGCCATGTATCGTGAGATTTTGAGTGCAAACCTCCTTCCATCAGCAAGGACATTGAAGATGAAACGTAGCTGGATCTTCCAACATGACAATGATCCCACACATACCCCCGGGCAACGAAGGAGTGGCTTCGTAAGAAGCATTTCAAGGTCCTGGAGTGGCCTAGCCAGTCTCCAGATCTCAACCCTATAGAAAACCTTTGGAGGGAGTTGAGAGTCAGTGTTGCCCAGCGACAGCCCCAAAACATCACTGCTCTAGAGGAGATCTGCATGGAGGAATGGGCCAACATACCAGCAACAGTGTGTGCCAACCTTGTGAAGACTTACAGGAAACGTTTGACCTCTGTCATTGCCAACAAAGGATATATAACAAAGTATTGAGATTAACTTTTGATATTGACCAAATACTTATTTTCCACCATAATTTGCAAATAAATTCTTTCCAAATCAGCCAATGTGATTGTCTGGATTTTATTTCTCATTTTGTCTCTCATAGTTGAGGTCTACCTATGATGCCAATTACAGGCCTCTCTCATCTTTTTAAGTGGGAGAACTTGCACAATTGGTGGCTGACTAAATACTTTTTTGCCCCACTGTGTGTGTATATATATATATATATATATATATATATATATATATTTCAAAGCAATACGTGCACAAAGGAAGGATAGAATTATAGTTCCCCTATGAGATGAGAATCTTACTTTTAGAGGGGGTTATAGACTCTTTACACTTTAGCAATATATTCCCATTCCTTCTAATAGATATACTCCCCTCATAGAGGATGACGACATTGGCATGAAGGAAACAGACAGTATGGGGTATTCTATGTACCTCAGGCAGTTTTCCATAAACAAAGGGAGAGATCCCCTAAAGAATTGCAATATAGAGATCAACCTGGCTGTTTTGTAGAGTGAAATGGCGCTCCAAAAAAGAAAAGGAAAGCATCAAGGTTGTAGAGGAAGAAGGATAAAGCACAACATAAAAGAGAAAGTGTTAAATTGTGATGGAATATTTAAATTAGGTGACAATTAATTAACTGACATGTTAACTTTAAGTAAGAAGCTTAAGCATGCCCCTTCACGTGGTTTTAATAACTTTGAAACCTTTATAGACATGCATAAATTTATGTGGAAGTTGAGTATAAAAAGACACTTCTTGAGTAAACCAGTTATCAAAAATGCTAAACCCCCTACACCAAGAACAATCATACACAAAGGTTTGTCAAATTGTTCCATGTTCAACCTTCCAGGAACTTAACTCCTAAGTCAAGCTGTATTTCAGGTCCTGAATGATTTGAAAAAGGTCACACTTAATAACAGACCAGATAAGGACATAAAATTAGGCATTAAATCTCTGTGTGATTGGAAAGATTTTGTCAGATCAGGATATGTATGAAATTTTAAAGAAGGATCCCACACAAAAATACAAAATTACTGGATAAAAAAGTTTAAAAAGGGGAGTGATACGAGTATCATAGATAAACAAGAGAGAAATTATCCAAATCCCAGAGTCCCACGTAAACCCATTACATACTGTCTGCCCAAGATCTATAAAAGTACGAATCATCCACCAGAAAACCCCATAGTAAGTGGAATCGACTCAACCAGAACTGAAAAGTATGTCAATTTTTTTTCTCCATGCACTTGTAAATACTATTTGTCATATCAAAGACACCACTCAGGTGATTAATATTACTTAAGGACCTGATGTGAAAGAGGAGTGTCTTTTAGTTACTGCAGATGTCTCTTATATAGCATCATTCCTCAACAGAAAGGCTAACAGGTAGCAGAGCATTATTTAAGGTTGGATGAGTCTCTACCTCCTAAAGCAAAAAAAATATCTCCTGAAACTATTAATGTTTGCTATGAAACATAATTACTTATGGTTTGGTGGCAATTTATCTCCAAAAACAGGTGTCGCATTGGTGCAAAAGTTGCTCCTTCTCTTGCCAATTTGTTTATGACTTGGTGAAAAGAAAGCTTTATATATAACAGAACTTAGTGGAGTTCAGAACACAGCAAAACTTCACCTAGGGACTTGACTATGTACTTTATAATGTCATCAAGCGTAACAGAGAGGTTTTAAATGTGCATTTATTTGCTAAGTTCTGTGTATTGTCAATTTAACAAAATGTTATAGCATTTCTTCTTTTAGAGCTCCAGGCACTAGTAAGAGGAGTTGGAGCAGAAAGTGCGTGTGAAGATGACGACCTGTTAACAGTCTTTCTGTGGATACAACAATAAGGAGCTTTTGGTAATACTTTAAATGTTTCTTCTGCCAAAAAACAAAACAAAAAAGAAAACGTGTCCTATATTCCTAGCACTATGAACAGTATACACTCCCACTTCTGTAAGATGTAGAAAACAGAGCTGTATAACTTTTTGTGCATGCACAGAAGTTATATCATTAGTGATCATCAAATAAATGAAGAGAACAGACGTTCGGCCAGAAGAAGCAGTGGCGAAGATGGCAAGGAATGCAGTAGCTAGGTAATCATGGAGCGGTCACTGCTGGAGGAGGGCATACTTTCAAATTATGGCAAGAGCTATCACTGCTCGGGCATTCCACAGCTCCACTTTAACTTAATGCAGGGAAGTATTAGAGGAAAAACAGAATCACTTAATTTCAGCTATTTAAGTATAATCTACCTAGCAGAAAAACATACCATTTAGAAAACAGATTTCTTTGATATATGCAAAAAGGACAGATAGAGCTAAATCCAAACGTTCAGCAGCAGGATGAATCATTGTGTCAGAAAGAACACCTCTACCTCTCTGCTGTGGGTCTTCATCTTCATCCTACAAAATTATCAGAATGTAGAAGATATGTGATGGGTTAGCTTGTCATCCATATGTTTTGGCTATAAAAAAAAATAAATTATATACATATATCTTGTTTTGTTATGTTGCAGCCTGATACAGTTGTTTAAATTAATTTTTTTTCTCATTAATCTACACTCAGTACACCATAAGGACACAATGAAAACGAAATTTTAGAAAGGTGTCTGAAAAAGGAAAAACTGGCATAAGTATTCAGACCTTTTGCAACACCACTTGACCACTTGAAATTTAGCTCAGGTGCCTCTGATTTCTCTTGATAATTGCTAAGATGTTTCTCCACCTTTATTGGAGTCCACCTGTGGTAAGTTAAATCGATTGGACATGATATGAAAAGCCACACAACTCTATAAAAGGCCTTACAGCTGATAATGCATACTGTATCAGAGCAAAAGCCATGAGGTCAAAGGAGCTGCCTGCAGAGCTTAGAGACAGGATTATTGCAAGGGACAGATCTGGGGAAGGTTAAAAAAAAATAATCTGCTGCACTGAAGGTTCCCAAGAGCACAGTGACCATAATTCTTAAACTGAAGAAGTCTGGCACAACCAGGACTGAGCATCTAGGGGAGAAGTGCCATAGTAAGAGAGAGATGACGAAGAATCTGATGGTCACTCTGACTGAACTTCAGAGATCTTGTGTGGAGATGGGATAAAGTTCCAGAATGACGCCCATCATTGCAGCCCTCCGCTGCCATCAACTTTATGGCAGAGTGACTAGATGGAAACCTTTCCAAAAAACTCAAGCGTTTACCATCTCCCTTTTCTTTCCTTGAATGGGAACAGTGAGCAATCACTCCAGATTGCTCCTGTGTCTATTCATTACTGGAGAAGATTAAACAGTGTTAACAATGCTTCAGTTTTGTGAATAGGAGTCTCTATACAGATTCCTATTCATTCATGTGCAGAGAAAGGGA